TAGAGCATCATAAAGAGATACAGTCCCATGATAGCCGGTGACCAACGATCGGTTCATACGCCATTTGTTCCTTCAGGATTCTGGAGCCCATGTGCACCATTTGTTTGGAATCAGGGTTTTCCGATTCCCCTAGGTAGATTCTCCATGTCCACCAATCTGCTTAAAGCGCCGGACATCCGCTTTTCGTCCTCAATTTCATAAACAACACCTCTGCTACGAGAAGGCAGTGAGTAGGACTTCCATGTTAGAGGTTATATACGCGTGGCTATGTGAGAGCATTTCGAGAGGGCGAGCGGACTCTGCTCACTCTTGGCCATACCAGGGCATTCGGGGGTTATTCATATCATATAATTATGGTACAGAATGAGAATTCTCAGCACAAAATATTTCATGCTCGGTTCTGACGATAAATATTGTGTGATTATCAGTTAGATGTTAGCAGTTCAAGAATTGACCTCTGAATAACATATATTCTTTTCGATGAATATAGCCAGCCATCACTATATCTCTGATTGTACGTTTTTGTCAATTTTACAGTGAGAGGTCGTAAACTGTCCATGAATGCTCCTGAAATATGTTGTGCAATCAATAGACATAATGATGTGTTAAAACAAACAGAAGAACAGATAACTTATTGAAATATTTAGTTAGGAGAAACAGATAACCCAGATATTCAACCAAGTCACCAATGATACACTAGACTTATTTTTCCATCTATCAAACTTCAACTATCTTCACTTGACTGTCTAGTTATTTAAATATCTAGAAAGTTCTACAGTTTGATAAGAGCCACTAATATCATGTTCTAGAATATTTCATATATTAATATATATGATAAAAATCTCTTTTTTTTGGTTGTTTATTATCCCATTTGTTTCAAGTATAAATTCTCCCAAAATAACCATAATCATAAAATACAGTAAATAGATTTAGAATTTTGTCGAATGGTTATGTTCATTGATTGATCAATAAAGTGTTGTAATTTTCCTATAAGTTCAACCATTTTGTGTTTCTACACGCTCAAGGTCACGCGGAATAAAATATGATTTAATCACATGACTGAAAAGTGGGTTGTTTAATTCTATTGGTTAAATTCCATTCCTGGTTTTGATTTGGAAACAATATTCAAAGATAAAGTTTTTTTTTTTTTCGGAGACTAGTTTTATTCACTTTAAGCAAATACAATTGATTATATATTATGTTTTCTTCTTAGTGGAGTTATTTGATTTTTAGAAATTCTAGAATTGAATCAGTGTTTGTCAATAAGCGTGGATTGTAGCTTACTGTACACAATTTATATTTGAACATTCTCAGTTGAATATAATCGAAATCCAGGGCTATTGTTCACATTCAGAAGTTGGAACCTAAACATTAAAGCTTTATCTACTAAGTTACAGAGTCTAAACATAGATATGTCCCTTAAATATTTTAGTCAAACGTCTGCTGATAATCTACAACTGTCAAATCTCTCACTAATCATGTGGTCTTGATCTGATATGTTTGATTACCACAACCTGTCAAGCCTAGTTTTAAAATTTTTTTTAGTGATTAGAGAAGAAATTCATGATAATTTATCGATTCCACTAAAAATTTATCAACTCACTGGACATATATATATATATATATGCTTAATGGTAATGCCGATTTCGAACTCTGTTATGTCATTGATTAATACGTATATATTGGCTGCTTGTTCAGTGACTATTCATTAATTGATCAGTTAACTCAGCTCTCACATTGTTTTATGTCAGTAATATATTAATGAGCCTATTTCGAATAAATCAATCATTTGTACAAAGGTCTTGTTCATTTTTGTTTTGAGTAAATATAAGTAGTTACTGGTAGTGCACATCACATTATTATATTTAAATCTTTTCAGATGGATCTAACTATTCAAAGACATATAATTAAAGTATTACAGAAGACTGTCTCACAAAATCTGTATAACCAGCATCCTATATTAACAAGCATAACAGATCTGTTAGATTCTATGATTAGTAAAATGGAAATTCAAAATTGTTCTTTTGTATTAAAACGTACATTTATGTTCATTTTTAAATAAAGTCTTTAATTTAATCCACCTATATATGTACCTCTCTTTATTAGCTAATAATACTAACCATCTGTGTAAACCAGGTTAAAATCTGCGGTCCTATTAGTTGATTGGTTAATCATTAAGCCACACATTACAGATTTTGCTTTGACTCAATTGAAGTTTGATAAAAAATTATACAAAATAACCTCCTGTGAATATGGATTTCAAATTTACAGAAGTGAAGAGAGATAGTACCAGAAGCTTCAAATCAATGTAGCAGAAATGAATGCATTCATTCACAAATCACTGTGGTATTACTCCTTAATATACATTAGGTTTAAGATAGAATCATATACTTTTCCGTAATAACATAGGTAAAGATTGAAAAGAATTGACCTTACTGAACAGTTGTTGTGACCTAGATTTGTGATTACATATATGTGTATGAGTGTGAGTGCTTGCAAAACCATGAAAACGATTCTTTCACAATCACCTACCATTTATTGTACTGATATCGTATATGACATGTTACGAAAGGGATTTCAATGAATTAAATAGAAATAATAAATAAAGGGGTTTAGTGAATATATAATAGTGATTTTAATAGTTTAGATCATGGGTCGATTGAAGCTAACGCACCATGAAAAAAACTGGAAGCACTGAACGGCCGTTTCGACCTAGTATATAGCTCCTCAGCAGTGCATCCATACCCCTACCTCGCAAGATTCGAACCCAGGACCTATCAATCTCGCGCACGAGGCGTCTCATACTAGGACGAAATGACCGTCTAAATGCTCCCAGCGTTTTCATGGTGGTCTAGCTTTGATTGACTCATGAATTCAACTATTAAATGTATAAGTATTAGTATTTTAATGAGACTGAAAATAATTCATTTATCCTTGTATATTGTTTACTTAGTATTAATAATTGTTCAACTTATTAAGTGTTATATCATGTTTTTAATTATTTAAATAATCGTTTGTTTACGTAAAAATCATGAAGTCAAGTAACCGAATAACCGTGTTTTATTTTGGACGATTACATGACATACTATGAACTTTACATGCTTCATTCATAGATTTGTCTTTGACATCATCATTATCAGTTTCATAATCAATTGAAGCACAGTTAAAATGTTGGATTTGGATTGAGTAGTTATTTTGATGACCTTTAATATATACAGATAAATAAATAGATTATTTAAATAGTTTAGTTAGTTAGTAAACTATTATTAAATCATTATTTTATGCTTTCAGTTATATTTTTTTGATTCAGCAATCAAAGGAATGAATGAGTAAATTGACAATACTGTGGAACATTGTAAGCCATTTGTAGTCGTTAAGATATCCTGGATCGAGGTTTCGTACAATTCGGCACTCGGAAATAAGGCTTGAAATGACCGATGCTGTCTGTTAAATAGAAATCTGTATCACTTAGCTTTATAAAATGAGACGTTACCACCTGAGATGTGCAGTTCGATTGATACCAGATAGTTCGACCAACGTGACATTAATTGTTCCTCTATGACCATTCGATTAATTATGAATATCCGAGTTCTCTAGGAGGTCAGGTGCAGTTCGAAAAGCTCATTGTCTGAGTCTTAGATTGTGAGGCTGGGTGACGTTGGTTTAATTCCCACAGGGATCAACCGTTCTCAAGATTTTAGATATACGTTGCTGATTAGTGCCAATGAACACAAAACCTATGTCATGCGGGGTTTGCTGCCAACTGGCTATCTTCAACCATCTAATATCTCAACATACTACACGTAATGTTGAGTCCCGTAGACTGGTAACCACTTTGATTAACAGACATGACATTAGTTACTACTCAGCAATCAATTAATGGAATAATCATAACCTGAAATAATAACATTAATTAAAGTTGTGTGTTATGGTCCTAGGATTATATAAACATTTCGTAAATTTTCCTAGTCTAGTGATTTGAAATATCAATTTATAATGTTTTAAAGAGGTTACTGCTCTTGTAACTTTCCGATTGAGAACCATTTTACCATATGATTCTTTAGATACATTTTTCTATACATTATTCTACTAGAAAACAACTCAACACATTAATCCAGGGAAATAAGATAAATATTAACCTATATTCTTAGGTAGGATTGACAATTATTGCTTTTCAAAGCTTAGATTACATACTTCGTAAATATGATCGTAATCTTTTCCTGATGCTTAACAATTTTTCTCACCCTTTACCACTGACATGTGTAACAGTTTTGATTGATTTATACACGTGCCATATTCTACTTTGTTGATGAGTGAGTAAATAACTGACTTATATGATAGAAGATGAATCGTTATTTTTCCCCTCATCGGCTAATCCTCTGTGAATAGTTGGGCTATATTGTAAAAATACTAGAACTCACATAATGATGTATATAGTTATTTTGTAATAACTTTAACTACTGTCATTTTATCCTATGTTCGTTTTCTGTTGCATTTACTTTTATATCCATTTTTACTTGTCACTTTTTAGTTGAATACTTAAATTATTATTTTTTTTAACCCTGATCAAAACCACCTTCAGTAATACTTTAAAACTTTTCAAAATTTTATTTTATTTATTACTATCCGCCAAAACCATGCACTGAAGCCATATTAATGCGGGTTTTTTATTTTGAAGATTGGTATGCAGCTTGTTTTGTAGGATAACTGGTCAATGTTAATTAATAATCTTTTTTACGATATATATATTTTCATATCTATATGTATATCGCGTCATGTTTTTATTTCTATACTTTTCACATATACATATAAATATTATACTGGAATAATATTGTTGTTGAATGGGTCACATTCATGTTTTTTTTCAGCTTGTAGAAGTAATATCTATTATCGATCACTTCATTCACAGCATAGTTATTAATGGTTTGTAAAATAAAAGCGCAACACACTCACAACTTTTTCAAGTCTATGAATCAATTGTTTGTTTTCTCACATTTCAGAACAACTTGAGAATCGGTATCGTGAATGTCGGTGCTCCAGCTTGCGGTATCAATGCAGTAATAAGAGGATTTACTCGTTTGGGTATCACCAAAGGTTATAAGATTATCGGAATACACGAAGGATTCTCTGGTCTTGTTAAAGGCGATGCTAGTGAAATACAGTGGTCTGATGTACGTGGATGGGTGGGAATTGGTGGTTCCATGTTAGGAACACGCAGGTATGTGATCTGTGCTGTGCGGTGATTTGAAATTGGACTTTTGTCGAAAAATTTAAACTACTGTTAATTTATAAGTAGCCGCAAATGGTATCTTCATTTCTGTGATCGGACCGATCTTGTCTTTATTAGTCGCCAGTCAAATGTAACATATTTTACCTCTCTCATTGAATGCTGTACATACTAAATGAAGTATTATAGCTATGACGACAAGTTTTGAACTTGATATTTTACCAGTAATACCTAATAAATGACAGTTCCTAATAGCACAGCACCATTTGAAATGATGAGTAATAACTTTCATGTATTTAAGTAATTTATATCACCTTATCATCCAACACCTAAATATTTCAACTGTAAAACGTTTAAAAATATTGAAGCCTAAAATAAAAATATTACAATTTTTTTTAACACAGGAAGATTTCGCATTTTTTATCTACTGAACTTTATGAATACTGATCATTCATTAGGATAACGCGGTTAAAACATCGTAGACCAGCATTATTGTTGTCGGCGAATCACTTAAAATTTCACTTTCAAGAATAATACTTACTCTTTCATCGTTAGTATGGTTTTACAGACTGCTAGTACACTTGTATTTTGATTATTAGGGAAGAATTGTTAGAAATATTTGATTCATAATGATAAAGTTTGAGATATTTTTTAAAATTGTGTTGTAAATACACCCATCATCAAAGTAAGTCAGTTTCGTGCGGGAAAAAATTTAACATTTGAACCAACCTGGCTTTCAGAACTGTTAGAAGTCAAATAGATTAAAATCCAATCAATGTATGGCTTAAATTATAAAGTTAATTTAGCCTTCCGTAACTGTATTCTTGTCGTGTATTTCATAGTTTTCTTTCTACATGCTAATTAAGTTTGCTTTCATTTTTATATTTTATTTATTTCCATTACCTAGAGACACACCAAATAGTTTAGGTATAGAGAAAGTAGCCGCGAGATTTAAAGAATTCAAATTAAGCGGTTTACTTATTATTGGTGGCTTTGAAGCATACGATTGTTTGATAGAACTGGTCGAAGGACGTGAAAAATATCCTGAATTATGTATACCTATGGCTATGGTACCAGCTACAATTTCTAATAATGTTCCTGGTACTGATTTCTCCTTGGGTTGTGATACAGCTTTAAATGAAATAACCTCTGTAAGTTATGTGTATATTTCCAAGTTTTATATTTTGTTTCTGATTAGCATTTTAATATCGCTATTAGCTTGAAGAAATCGAAATCGAATTAAAAAGCTAGAGAGTAGTAGTTCCATCCTAGTTTACAGCACCTTAACGATGTCATAGGAGCGGGCCCAATTCTTTTTGTTTCCACCGTAAGTATGATACATTTAGATCACAGTACTGTGTTTGAGTTCCAGAGTGGACATCAACTCTGAGATCTAGGCACATCCAGTTGACGAGTCACGAATAGGACGAAACTCATGTTCTGGATTTCACTGCCGGCCACTATCCATCTTTGCTTACTATGCTTGTGAATTAATGCAATACGCACATATGTCAATAAGGGACTGATCAACCGCAGTCCTAAACATCAATGGGAAGATTCAAGTAAACAATATCAAGTGAATTTAACGTATAACACTTTATTTATTTTTAATTTAACAACTTAAGTTCTACAAACGTGAAATGTTTTGTAAATTTTCAATATTTTACTTTCGTTTCAAATATAACGAGAAAAAAGGTAAGTTAGATTTATACATTAAATAATTGAAATGAACTTACTATAGAATTAAGCTGATCTATGATGAAAGATCTTTCTGAATGAACTAATGTTGATTTTTAAATATTGAAAACATTACAAAACTCATCCATTAATTAAAATATTCATTTAATTATATTGTATAATGAAAATGGTTAAATGATAGATGGAATCATCCTTTCAATGGACTATGAAGTGTGGGTTGACCATATTGTGGACGCTTTTGTTCATATTTTGTTGAGGGTATTCTAAGTCTCTTAACAATATAAAGTAATGTGTATATAATATTTTTAGTTTTACACCACAGATTGAATTTTGTTCGACAGCTATTGGAAGTTAAGACGCACCGAAAGGCTGTTTCGTCCTGGTATTAGGTTTCCTTAGTAACACATCTGTAATCTCACCATAGAGTTTGAATTCAAGGCCTCTCAGTGGATATCCACTCTTTAAATCCCTTAGTTAATATCTAGTGGTTTACATTACTAAGTCGAGCCAATTTGCGATGTGTTTTTTTTGGGGGGGGGGAAGGTAGAAAGTTGGTCACATTCGCATTTATGACTCCACTAGTGATATAATCTAGGATCTCTATTTCTCTCAGAGAACACTTGGCCATTGTAGCCTCTGGATCAATATCTACTGATGCAATTCTGACTTCAATCGCCTTGCAATATATAGCATGCCGACCATTTTATACGATTAGCGAAAACCACTTTACTCCCAATATTCTTGAAGTCTAACACTTACAACTTCACCCTAGAAATCCAGGAACATCTTGAAATAACTCACAAATGAACTGAATATTTCAGTTTAGTTGAATAAATTTTATGAAGGTTGGTTCAATTTGTAGATTATATTCGCATCAGTATACGTTATGGGACCTGGAGGTCCTGAGTCTGACCTGCTATGAAGTTGTGAGTACGTTCTGCTAAGAGGCCCTATTATAGGACGAAAAAACTATCCTATTCATCCTAGTTATTATCTGCACTGAGATTAATCTGTGACAAATATAACTTTAAGAAATCTGTTAGTTAACTAATCATTATCAATAACTATTGGTTACTCTCTTCATTCTCTCTTCTTCCTGTTATCATTGTTAATCTCTATTTAAACATTAATTTTTCAAGGTTTTGGATAAAATTAAACAAAGTGCATTGGGTACAAAACGTCGTGTATTTGTTGTTGAAACAATGGGTGGTTATTGTGGTTATTTAGCTACAATGAGTGCATTAGCTGGTGGAGCAGATGCTGCTTATATATTTGAAGAACCATTCACAATTGATGATTTACGTGAAGATGTAGTACATCTACGTGCAAAAATTGATGATAATGTTAAACGTGGTTTAATACTACGAGCTGAATATGCTAATAAATATTATACAAGTGAATTTATTCATCAATTATATGCTCAAGAAGGTCAAGGTATATTTGATTGCCGGTAAGTGATTTATTATTATTATTATTATTGAAATCGAAGTCGATATAATTTTCATAATGATCATCATGAAATGATCTTAGTCAAATAATCATTGAAAACTAGGAAGCATTGTACAACTGTTTCATCCCAGTATGTTGCTTTCCACCTGGAAATGAGCCTAAGAGCTTTAGGTTTTGTGGTAATAGCTTAATCTTCAAATTAGTGAATCAATGTTAAATAGTTTACATTCCTAGCCTTAATCAATTCATTGGTTGTCTACTTAAGTCAGTTCATGATATAAACAATCTACACAATACCCTATCGATTAACTTTGCCTATTCGATAGGAATTAATCATCAATTAGATGTTATACATCTGTGTTACAATTCTGGCATAATGTGTATTTCATCCTCAGTCATGTACACACAGAGGCATAATTTGTGTATCTATTAAGTTAAGTAATCAATCGACTCACTTAATCTGATGTCAAACTAAGTATAGATTACTCACGATAACTGAACTGTTATCGGAAGACGGAAAATTGACTGGTAGAGATATTTCTTTCTCTTGAAATAACTATGAAGAAGGAAAATGTTCTACAAGTAATAATTGTTTACCGTTTTATTGATAATTTTCCACGTAACCAAGTCAACGATAATTTAAACTGCATAACAACTCCAAATTTAACTGTTCCCTGATTGGTTAATCTCTATTTTAATATATCATTTTGTCGTTGCTACCTAAACAGATTAGTTTTAACAATTTAATTTCTCTTGAGAATAATAAAAACTCAGTTGTCTAGATCCATTTTCTGTTCTCTTACATTGGGAAGTTAAGACAATTAGTTGTCATGGTCTTATCGGTTGACAGAAAAAAATTATTAGGAAATAATGAAAGGAAATTTTTATTTCAGCTTAAAGTACGATACTTTAAATAAATGTGATGATTTTATTAGTATAGAGATATTTATAGAAATTGCACAAGTTTCGTAGCTCTATTCACGATTTGATCTTAGCTTGACCACCATCGAAAATCTAGAAGTAATGAACGGCCGCTTTGCCCCAGTATGAGACTCAGTATTGAGCATACATCACCATGAACCTAGCAGTCATACATAAAAGCTTCAACCTTGCGTTGAAACGCCTGAAGTCTAGATTGTTGAGTCAACATCTAACGAGGTGAATATCCAACTTCAGTTAACCCATGATATTTCCCCAAGAATAATCACCGTTTGGTAAAGTAACTAATGTTAAATCTGCTAATTATTCCTACTTATTGCTTCATATTTTCTAGCTGTATAGCGCTATACTACTCTTAGTTACTATTAAGTAGTTCGAGCTATAGTTGACTATTTTAAAAGTTTATTTCAAATGTATTCAAGTAAATATAACCAGAACTTTCACTTCATTTATATTCTTAAAACTTTTCATATATCTAGTTGTAATGTACTGGGTCATATGCAACAAGGTGATAGACCGAGTCCATTTGATAGAAGTTTAGGTACAAAATTTGCTTCGAAAGCAATTGACTGGTTAGATGAACAAATCAATGCTAATATACGTTCAGATTGTAAGTTACATATTGTTTGTTTACCTTTTTATACTCACATGATTACACACATAATTTTAATGCATCCTGTCATTCACATTTTATATTTTTCATCGGTTTGAATTCGTAGGCTATCTAGTTGCCCAATTTCAAAATCGAATTTTTTTTTACCAACCTTCTGTTTACAAATTAATTATGTTTTAAACTAATGTTCCAGAGTGAATATTAACTGTGGGATACAAGTACATCCAACTGAGAAGCCCAAAATAGGGCGAAGTGCCGATTCTGTATTTCACTGCTATCCACCATTCATCTCTGTTTATAATGCTTGTGACTTAATGTCAATATTAAGGTTTTCTTGATAGGATGGACAATTGACTGAAAGAGACTGATCAGTTATAGTCCTCAGGATTAATGCCAAGATCCAAACAACCAACACAAGTGTGTTTTATTGAGATCATGAATCGACCAATGTTAGACTATTTCGCCTGAACAACTTTGAATCAGACTGTTCAATGAAAATTTCAAGTTGCTCTTATTTTCAGTCGCTAAGATTTCTGTAAATATATGATTTTATCTTCTACATTTGGCTATACGTCTTATTTGTATTGATATCTAAAAAAATTAATTGATTTTCATTGGGTAAGGATAAACCCCACTCTCGTTTGCAACTTTGACCTTGTTCCTGGCAACCAACCAAAATGAAGTGGGAATTATTATTTAAACCATCGTAACTCATTATGAAGGACGTGTTTCGCTTTCTGTCTTTTTTGCTGGCTTACATGAAAAATTTAAAGTTTTCTACGATGAAAATACCACTCCACCATGCTACGGACGTGTCAAGTGTAGGCCAGTCAGTTATGATCGAGGAAAAATTACAACATAGCTAAAGACATACATACAATTAAGTCTATTATTGCAAAATATCTACAACTAAGAGATTAAATAAACGAAAACATAACCTTAATCACTGATGACGTTTCATTCAGATGACTTGACAGCGTGGAGTTTATTCCCAGCCTTTTCATTTGCCTTAAATATTAACCTTGAGATTTAACAAGATATTATTGTTATTATAAATGATTCGCTATGGCTAATAAGGCTGAACATTTGAATTAGAGTTTAGTCAGGTTAATTTCACAGAATTTCTTTAAAGTTGATTTAAACGACAATTGTTTACAAGCTTGAAAAATAGCTAATCACACTTGACGTGATTTCACGTGATTTATCACGTGACCAAATCACCACTAGAACACCGACCCTCGTGACCTTCGCATTGTGCCAAACCAATGACGCATAAACCAATACGAGTAGCCTAGAGTCAACTCTGAGGTTTTATTGGTCCTCTGAGATAGTAGCTTCTCGCCTAACCCAGACGACTCATTCCAGAACACAATATCAACTTCCACCGAATGAATCATGTGTTGTAAACATACGTAGTTTACATACAAGCAAATCAGACCGTATCATAAGACAAAATAGAAAACAATTATACAAGATCAGGTCAAAAGTGTCTGTGAGTGTGGAAGACTGTAACTAATAAATTGAGAATAGATTAAGAATAGTAAACCGTATAAAAATAGTCAATAAGCTACATCAGTTTGACAACCAGGGAGTATTCAACAGCTGATTCGCCACCACTCTGGGGATCTAGCCTAGGATATCGGATGTCGCGGCTAACCTCAATACTGTTAAGCTGATAGTTAATACTGTTCATTCCTGATTATGTGACGTCATCTCCTATTACCTGCTGAGGATAACTGTCTCACATCCGAGATAGTTGATTTTTTTATTATGGTTAATTTAGTAATACGATTATGTATATGTCACTGAAATGCCAGAAACCGATAGTTGAAAATATCTTATATTTCATATTGACTTTTTATTAGACCCCCGTAATATATGCCATTATCTTGACTTATATGTTTTGCTCATTTTTTTATTTTTAAAAACAGTTACAGTCTATACACCAGGACATTTATGCTGTACACTTATTGGTATTGTACGTCGTCAGACAACCTATTCAAACATTATGGAATTAAGAGAACATACAGATTTCGTGTAAATGTCTTTTTTTAAAAACTTATTTTAAAAGATTTAATTATACTAAGATGATAATGATAATGAACTAGTTCAATTTAAGGTCCAGGAAAAAATATCTATGAAAAAGAAAAAAGTTAATTTAATAATTGAATTCATGAAGCAATTAAAGCTAAGCCACTATGGAAAACTTGGAAGCAACGCGCGGCTGTTTCGTCCTGGTATATGACTCCTCAATAGGACAAAATGGCCGTTTAGTGCTACGAGGTTTTCCATGATGGTCTAACGTTAATTGACTCATGAATTCAATTATTAAAGTACTAAAATCTCTTTTTAAATAACCTCATTATCATTATGATGTAACATAAATTAAAAGCGGTCAATGTTTTATAATTAATTGTAATACTAAGTAAATATTAATCAGTAAATGAAGAGTTTGAAGAGAATCATCCTTATAGATATTTTATTAAAGATACAAACCTCAAAGAAATTTATCACTTGCTTTATTGCTTAATCAATTCATCATAAACTACTCATTGATATCATCTTTGTAGAATCACTAAAACCACTAGAAGTTAGTAAACACGCCCTCTTATTTTGTTTTAAGACCGCTAGATTTTGACTCAGAGATATGCATAATGGTGATGAGTTATGAATTCACTCTGCTGTTAACAGTGCAATAAACGTCAGTGAAACAAACTATTCAAGCTTCTGAATAGATAGTTCATTTTTATATTTCCAGTTATTCTATACACTCATATTTGATCCACATTATTATCTCTGAACGGTCTTCCTATATTCTTGTGTATGTACGTATGTCTATTTTCATCTGTGGTCCAGTTGGTTCTGTATTGACTCGCTGTATTCTATACGCAGTCTACTTTTATATATACAATGAATCTTCTTAATTAGAATGAGTTATTCAGTTTACCAACTTTACGCTACATCAACCCGTTCTTCACTTACATGATTGTTTGTTTGTAATTGAATGCATGAATTGAATGTATCCTCACTTACAGTCCTTATTTCGACCATTTGATTCAATGTTTCAGTAACGTGATGTCTCATTGGTTTATTAGGAAATTAAATATTAAATACATGAAGGATATATTAAAGTAAGACATAGGGATTGTAGAAAGTATTTTTCTGCAAACGCAATTCTAAACTATTTTCCAGGCTGTTGAGCACAGTCTTAGCTTAACCAAAATCAGAACAAGTAAGCTATTTGACTTGATAAACTTTATCTGTTTCTAAAACGTAAACTAATACTGTTATTATGCAGAAAACAATCTATTAAACGCATTAAACAGTAAAAAAGAAACACCAAAAACATACTAAACATTAACCAGAGGATAGGAAAAATGAGACAAAAAACCTAATATCAGTATAGGGATTAGTGGAGAATATAGTATTTTCATACTTGGTTTAACGAGTCAATCTAAGCTAGACCACCATTGAAAACCTGGAAGCACTAAACGGCCGTTTCGTCCTAGTATGTGACTTTTCAGCAGTACACATCCATGTTTCAATGCTTCTAAGTTTTCAGTGGTAGTCTAGGATAGATCGACTCGTGAACTCAACTGTAAAAAAAACATAATATCATTTATGATAAACGGAAAAATTATGATTGCTGAATAAACAAGACATAACCAACCAAGATCAAACAGAATTAATGCAATGATGAGCATTTAATGTTGTCATTACTGAGTTCGTTTATCAATCATACTTGTATGTCCTCCCTTGTCTCTTTTTTCTCTCCCCAAGTTTGTTTTACTGTATTCTACTCTTTAAGTAACATCTTCAAACACGTCTACTACTGCGGGATTTGAATCGACCACTACGTCTCTGTGCTAATGTAGTGTGGCAACTCGAACTGATGTACGTACGTACGAAGTTCTAGGTTGTTGCTGACTGACTGACTGTATGTCATTAATTCTAGTGATTCTCTCTTCAACTAATGTTAATAAATCGCTCATGAAATTCTTCATTTCTATTTTTTTTATTACTTTATAGACATCGTTTACCAAAAGACGAATGGTGGATTAGTTTACGTCCATTAATGCGTATTATGGCTAAACATGATAGTCTTTATGAATCAGAAAGTATTATGGCTGGAACTGATAGAAAATAAATAATCAATATTTTATTTTTAATTTTTAAAAGAACAATCATAAAAGAAAAGAAAAAGAAAATGGTGAAACAAATTATACGTTTTTTTCTTCTTTTGTTTATTTCAATTTAACTTATTCAATATTAGTTTTGGCTTACCTTCATTGAATCAGATCTTATTATTGACAATTTCTGTTTGTTTGTTTTCACTGATTTACTCGTTTATCAATAATTCAATCAACCCTGTCCATCTTATTCTGCTTTACCTGAGATCAATCACACATGTATTGAAACCCATTGGTTTAGTTAGATTAAACAATAATATTATTATTATTATTGTTATAAGTCATTTTAACCTTTCCAATACTAAGATGATTACCAAACATCATTTTTATTACTGAAATCTAGTTGTAGAAAATGACAAAGTGACATTTACTTTTCTTTTTCAAGACAAAGAAAAACAATAACAACACCAAAAGCAACAAAGAAAATAATAAAGAAATGAAAATCATTATCAATGTGTTTCTTTCATTCTTTTTCTCTTACCTTTTAGTGAGTCCATGTAGTAGTAGTAGTATTATGATAGTGCAATATGTAAACGTTAACGAGTTCTTTTTCTCTCTTTTTTTTTCTTGTATAATAGAGAAAATGTATAATGAAAACGTTGATTTTGTTTCAAATTTTCATGTAATAAATCGTTTAACCATTTCTGTTTAATATTTTCCTATTAGATAGTGGTTGGAGGTAGTCGACAGGAAACCTTGGACCCGAATTTCGTGCTACTTGGCACTTGTCATCAAGGTGTACCTTTAATCTTGAGGGGACTGGTGATTGCTGGCGGATTCGATCCCATATATTGTTCGACATTTAAAAAACAACGCTTCCCTTGAAGCCCTCTCTCTTCCCTAAATTATCCAGTTTCAAATGTTTTAGTTCTGTCAGAGGATAGTGAGAATTAATTTGACACATAGAGATAGATTATCATATATATAAGTAATAACAAACAAATTTTGTAACTAACGGATTATTAAGTAGTGATCAATGTTATAATAATAATAATTTATATTCTGAAAAATAATAATAATTACAGAATTCACGCCAGTTTACAGGCATGATCAATTTGATATAAATAATAACATTAGATGTACAGAACAAATATGTGATAGAAGAGAGTTTTAAGTACACTAGTTCAGTAGTTGTTTAAGTAGTATATATATTACAGCGATCCAATGCATCAGCCGGGAATTTTTTAATATTTCTGAAATGGACAGCCCTTTGATTTATGGATGGAGTAATTAAGGTCATTTCGTGTGCCAGATCGAATTAATGATGATTATCTACGACTAGAGAAATTAAAACAAAAACAGAGAGCATGGAACAACAAATCGGTAATTACCAAAATATGTCAATCAGGTCTACCAAAATGCATGTGACTCAGTAATGTACTGTTGATGATAGATATTATTCAAATTAGTTAGATTTACTAGGGACGGTGGTAACATAAAGTGACAGCAAGTAGGTGGTTTTACTTAGGGAGTTCTTTAATAAAAATGTCTAAACATTTAAAGTTCTTATAATATCACTTGTGGAATGAGATACACTTACATGTGCTAGAGCATTCAATACATTTTCAGAGGAGCAGTATGCATCGATGCAGCGAACAAATAATGGGAGTGATTTTATCGTACGGATAGATTGTGGTAGGTTATTCCAGAGACTAGAAAATTTACAGGTGGAGTGATTCATATAAAGAGATGATTAAGAATAAGTTTATTTCACTAGTAACAAGGAATTACGGATGTCGTAATGAGAAGTTTCTGAATATTGAATCACGTGATTGGATGTAAACGATAGTTTATGAAGTAATTTGAAGAAAAAGATAAGATTTAGTTTGAGTCTCCTATTCCATAAAGTGTCTAGCCCAAGTCTATTACATCTGGAACTAGGTTAAAGTACAATCAGCTTCAAGAATACGAAGTGTAAATCGTCTCTGTACTGATTCTAGCCTTAATTTATCCTTTATGCGTGCACTGCTAAAAATAAACGTGCAATATCCTAGAAGAGGTCGAGCACAAACTTTGTACATTCGAATACGTGATTCATTGTCGTAAAGGCTCCGAGTTATGTAACCTATTAGACGTTGAGACTTAGACGTCTGTTTTAATATCTGTTCTGTAAACGATAAGTCTTGGGAGTATCAAAGTCCTAAGTCTACTACTGTATGTAACCTAGACAACACTTCAGCATTTATGGTAAGATCTAAGTTGAGTGATGTATCGCCGAAGCATGTCCATTCACATTTAGCCGTATTAAGATCCAGTTGCCCTTTTTAAGCACCACTGTGTTACTTTGTCAAGCTCCATGCTGATGGAATTTCGAATATTTTTCAGCTCATGTGGAGCAAATGAATATACTACCTTAAGATCATCTGCATATAGAAGGGGCTTACCCACACAAAAGCTTTCACAAATATCATTGATAAACACTAAAAAGAGCAAAGGGCCTTGTATTACACCACTTTTAACACGGACAATGTTAGACAATGAAGAGTTAATTTTAACTATTTGATGTTGATTGCCGAGAAAGGAATCAAACCAAGCTAGCAAAGGATTAGCCTATTTCTTGAATGATGATCGAATACTGTTGTTGTGAATAAAGACTTAGGTAGGAACAAACAATTTATTATTTAATTTAACATTACAGAATATCTTCGTAAAATATGAGAACTATACATTCAATATTTTATTTGCAAGTCTTCCATCAGTTATCCTTCACATTCTGTGTGATTCTTTCAATTCACAATTCATTTCTAATTCCCTTTTTTTAACTCGATCTACTTAGACTTCTACTGCAAAGGCATTCTACTTCTGATTGATGTTACATACTACTTATGCCGAAAGACATAAGTAGTCGAAGAGAAAATTGTGTTTCAACAAGGCGTACCTCTGATTTTGAGGGAATTAATTCCCTCTTGTAGGATTCAAACTCACGTCATTCAAACCTGGGTTCATAATTCCCTCCCACATAACACAACAATTCATGCATATCATAAATGAAATCAACATTTGAACATCACATAGACTAACTATCTGTAATTGTCATTGTTTTAATATCAAGGTATGGGATATTATTAGATGATTAATTTCACATTATTTAACTTAGATAGTTAGACAGGCAAAAATAACATCATTATCTATATACTGAACTTTGATAATTTACATGAAACAACTAAAACTAGATCATCTCAAGGAACAATAAACAAACTACTATGTCATTGGCTGAGATTTAGTTAAACATGATTTCATATTTAGTGTCTATTATAAAACGCAGAGCTTAACTACTACATCCCATAGTAGGTTAAATTTAAAACTAACTATTTACCCTACTATTAACCGAAGCTGAATGATTCTAATATGAAAGATTATGTGTTTTAAAATATTCAAATCTTTTGGGATTTAAATGAACGATTACAATACAAAATAATAACTGAGAGTTTTTCTTTTATTTAAGCAAAGCATGACTTTGAGCTTGATAACGAGTCAATTAGAAGTTGTTATCAATGTTTAAACATCATGCAAAGCATATTAGAAGAATGCAGAGACTTTGAAATTCCTCCTATTATCGTCATTCAAGATTTAAGATAGTATATGTAATTTTAATCTTATAATGCGCATCCATTATTCCACCAGGTGTCCAAATCAGGACATTCAGATCATGCGGCGAGCATTTAACTCTTAAAATTACTTGGGAAATATCTAGTAGTGTAATTCCAACGTCAATCACTGTTTAATATATACGGTAGCAAACAATCAATCTGATTGATGAATACTACTTTACTCATGACACGTCCGAATTATAATTTCTTCTGTTTACACTCATCTTTATACAATCGGGCCCCAACCTGCTTCTCCTTCCTTCAATGATCTAATAATCGTCAGTACAGAGGTTTATAAAGATTATTAAATATTCCTGACATCATTAACCAACCCAAATTTTACATCCATTGCAAAACCAGAAAGCCATCACCAGTGGAGTTCAAATATGTAAGATGTTAACCAGTTAACCCCCGGAAGATTATGGAAGTTGGTTGTGAACTATCCCGGATAGGTTGAAGCTAGACATGTACATCAGTTGTATGGAGTTAGAAGCTGATTCATGAAACCGACAGATCTAGAATTGATTCCTAGTTGAGTTGTACATGTACATTCTCAAGGAGTCGCATACCAGAACTAAACGGCTATTCCATGCTCCCTAGTTTCTATCTGTTGTTCAACTTGGGCTCATTTACATTGAGTAAAATCAAAAGATTAAAATTCTTGTTCAGCTGATCTCATAAAAATGAACAAATGTTCAAATGAACGTAGTTAAAAACATGGAAACACATACACTGGTATTTTTATATTCATTATTCGAGAATACAATAAACTCATGAAGATGCACCTCAATGAAACAATAATAATCATAATATGAGGATGTATACATCAATTTTATTTAACTAGCTGGTCATTTTGTCTTTGTAGAAAAGCAGGAAAATAAATTAACATAAACACACACACTCACAACATTCACATGAAAAACAAGACAGGAGGTCATTTCATGGTAGAAATAAAAACCGAAGAAACATACATTTGATTTTTCTGAGGAAAAAAAAGTTAATTAAATAACAGAAAGAACAGACAATGCAATGAAAGAATAACAATATAATCAGTAATTCATTGTTCAATAACACAATAATAAACACTATCATTATTATGACTGTCACATGTTACTAAGATTATTATTCAATGATGATGACGGTGGCGACAATAATAATAATAATAATAATGGTGAGGAGGAGGAGGAGGCGGAAAACGGTCATAGATAGAGTAAACAGCACTATAGAATTTAGTAAAGAAAACCTATCGAAATAATAATATTAAGGATGAGGTCGATGAATATGATAGTGGCGGTGACAATGATCCATAATAAGCATTAATAGTAAATCTAATTTATATATTTAAACATATAGATCAGACTTTATCAATGAATTGAAAAAGTATAATGGAAAAATTCTCAGTACTCAGTTCTAACTATTATTATTATTATTACTGTTAAGGATAATACAGCAGTAATGCTGTAGTAGTACTAATAGTATTCAATTATAACAGCTAACTAATAAACATATCATTATATAACTATTATTATTCAAGCATTATTTATTTGTATATTACTAACAAACAAACAAACAATTGAAAATAACATAAAGATTATTGTATGATAAAACAAGAGGAGAAGTAAAAGAGAATAACGGACTGTAGCACTGAAGAAGAAAAAAACAACAACACACTCATATATCGAAAGATCAGATTAACATTCAATAGAAAATTCTCTACATTCAAACATAAAATGCTCATTTCGGATGAAAATAAACAAAAACTTCATTTTACATCAAAAGAAAACAAACAAACAAACAAACAAAATAGTAATAAGGAAACTTTGTATGTTTATTGAATTTTAATGATTCTTCTCAGTGTGTGTGTGTATGTATGTAGGTATGTTTTCTTTACTTTATATTCTTTGAAAGGTTTCCATCTTGAATTATCTCTTCAAATAACAATAACCATAACCATAATTCAAATAGGAGTAAAAAGTGTAACCATTTAATCAATTAAAATAGAAACAAAAAAAATTAGGCATAGAAACTAAAATTACATAATTATTTATTATTATGAC